TCCAGTCCAGTTCCCACCCTGTGCAAACACCCCAGCCCTAAGAATTAATGACCCCACACACACTGAGCCATCCCAGGACAAGCACAAAGCTCCAAACCAAACATTTTCCCAGCGTAACTTCCCAAAATGGAATTTTTTGAACACAAAAAAGCAGTTTCTGAGAGACCTGCACTGCTCAAACCAGTTTGTATTGGGAGCAGTGACCTATATGGAGGTGAAACAAACCTAAATAAAAAACCCATCCATGGGAAGAATTCCTCATTTTAAGGACATTTCCCATGGAGAACTGGTGTTAGAATGAGCAGGATTGATCTCAAAGCTGGTGAAATTCTTCTCCAGCCACAGGATGGGATGTGTTCAATGGGGGATTCCTCCCAGAGCATCCCAAACTCAGCTGCCTTCTCCAGAGGGAAACTCAAACCCCCCAGAGCAGCTGGATTTTCCTCTGGAACACTTGGGAAGAAACCCAGGCATTCCCAGCCCTGGGATGGGGATCCCCACCTGGTGTCCCAGTCAGGGGGGCAGTACGAACACGCTGGCATCTGCAGGTCAAGAACAAATCCCAGTTATCCCAGTTATCCCAGTTTTCCCAGCAGATCACACACTTGGCTCAGGCAGAGCCCAGCCCGGCTGGAGCAATTGGAATTGGCCAAGGGACAGAGCAGGAAGCAGAGAGGTGAGAATGTGACTCAGCCAGGACTGCAGATCCTGCCCAGCCCTTGCTCTGATTATTCCTTTGCCTTCTAATTACTTGTTCCTGATCCCAGAATTCCACCCAGCCCCTCCCCCAGCTGGGTGCAGGCCAATTAACCCAGAACATTAATTGTTATTGATATTGATTTATTGATACTGAGGAGGGCAAGGCTGCTGATAAATAATCCAAATTCCACATGAAGAGATCCCCATAAAACAGAATTCCTCAGAGGGCACCACAGAACCTTTTTTTGGCACAAAATTCCCATGGAAATCACTCAATGCCTATTACCTATATTAAATGGTGATTTTCTATCTTTTATATGGTACATTACGTGTTACATGTTCACAGTTTTTCCCCAGTGCCTATTTCCTATATTAAATGGTGATTTTCTACTCTAAACCAATCTGTGAGTGCCAACATCACCAAGAACATGGAGGTGAGGAAGGAGAAAGAGGGAGGACAGGGCAGGCCCAGATCCCAAATCCATCTTAAACCCTCTGACCCCCATGTACAAAACCAAAACCCCCCTGTACAGCACTCAGAAATTCTTCCCTCTACTTTGTGACTATTTCTACTGTAATATCTAAACTTTTGTGACTTCTTGTTCTTCCTGCAAGGTTGGTAAATTGTTCCATGGCTCAAACCCAAAATCACAGCTGTTTGCAGCTGCCTGCCAGGGTCTCAAATGCTTCTGAGCTGGGCCCGGAACATCCAGAAATGTCTGAGGGACATTTTGAGTTCCGACACTGTGGTGGCACCCAAAGCACCTGGAGGGATGAGCACCCACAAAGCGCTGTCACCACACCCCACGGTGCTGATGGCTTCATCTGCCCTGACATTAGATAAAAGGCTTGTTCTCTAATTTGTTGGGATAGGGTGGCTGGGGACAAGATCACCACGCACCAAATTAGCTGACAACACAATTAGCAACACAATAATCTCAGGTTTAGCCAGAGAACCACCTCGGCCCAGAATATTCTGCAAACTCTGCCACATTTCCTTGCTTAGCCTGGAAGTTTCCTCCCCATTAATCAAGACAGCCTCACCAGCCAGACAAAACCTGAAAGGGCACATCCAGATCTCTCACTGCAGGAAAGTGAAGAGGTTGGGTTGTTGCTTTGATGGGTTTGCAGGAACATCCTCAAGTCTGCTCAGGCAGGAGGTTTAGATCACATTTTAGGGAGAAATTCCTCCATGTGAAGGTGGGGAGGGTGCCCAGAGCAGCTGTGACAAGGCCAGGCTGCACAGAGCTTGGAGTGACCTGGGATGGTGGAAGGTGTCCCTGCCATGGCAGGGGTGGAATGAGATGATTTTGAGGTCCCTTCCAACCCAAAAACCATTCTGGAATTCTGGGATTTTATGAAATTGGATCTTCTGGGAAGAGCCCGGCCTGGTGCAAAGTGTCCCTGCAGGGCTGGGACAGAGCCCAGAGGCTCAGGAACACTCCCAGACTCTGCAAATCCCCGCTGGCCTTTCTGGCAGGGCAGGGATTTTATTCCTGTCTCCAGGGCTGAGCTGGATGTTTCCTGCAGCAGCCAAAACCACACTGGAATCCCCAGCAATAATTAACACAAATCCCCAGGGGCCAGAGCAGAAAGGGATCAGATCTTCCAGAGCAGCAGCAGACAAGGAAACAAACTCCTGTATTTTTATCTACTTTATGCAGGTAATTTGGTCTGATTTTTACCACCACAAGCAGAGGGCTTTTAGGGAAGGCTGAGGTTCAAGCAGGTCTGGAGCAGGAGGATGGTAACCCTGAGGAAGCTGACAATTAAATGCGGTTGTGTTCCTTATCTTTTATTTTATAGGCCTGATTTTAAGGCATTGGGACGTTTTCCTGCTCAGTGCAGAAGGGTCAGCCTGCAGTTGGTAAATGCAAGGGTTAGGTTTATAAATAAATTTATTCATACACATGAAGCGTCTCCTTCTCAAACCCTGCTCTAATGGGAAAGTTAGAAAAGTTAGAAATAGAAAATCCCCAGGATTTTTAGGGGATTGGGTGACACACACCCATCCACCCATCTCTGGCAAAACCCCTCTGGCCATTCCAAGCTCTGCTCACTCAGGGATTTCACCACCCCAGGCACAACACAGAGCTCCAGGACTGGCCGAGCTAGAAAGGGACACAACCATCTGTAAATTTTGAACGGAGCCTTTGCACGTGAATGTTTCAATATCAAAGGCTAAGCAAGCATCAGTTCCACAGTCAACATCCATAAAAATAGCAGCGGCAGAAAAGAGGCACGGCCGGGCTGGGAGGGAAAGCGCCACATCCTGATGGCCCCTTTGTCACCTGCGCAGCCCTGTTTGTGCAAGCGCCTTTTAAAGGTGCTCGCCGTGGAAAGGGCAGTTTTAAAGCATCGTTAAAATGCGTTCAGACAGGAAAAGAACAGCTTTAACCCCAGCTGTTCCATCTGGCCCTGAAGCGGTTTGCATTCCTTTGTGCTCGGAAGGCACCGGTGGGCGCCAGAACAGCGACATTGTTCAGTGAGGGAGATGTGCCCGGAAAATCCGGGAAAATCCGGGGGGGGAAAGCATTTCTGACACTTTTATTTCTCACTTAAACAGCAGTTAGGTTCGAAAGTAGATGTTTGCGAGCGACATTAAGCTTTTTTTATCCCTGGAACAGAATAAAGGACACAAAGGCGAGCCTCGTGATTGGCAGGGCCGTGCTGTATTCCGGGCATTTCAGATGAGATTCTGGAACCTGTCCGTCCTTTCTGCAAACCCCTCACCTGACACCTGCGGGTACCTGCTGGACGTGAAACCAGCCCAGATCCCCTCTGCTCCCGCTGGAACACCGCGCTGCGGCCCCAGCTCCTTCCCGCTCATCCCATTGGAGCCGGGATGCTCGCAGGGACCTGCCGGCGCCCTTGGCAGGATAACCGCGCTGCAGGGCTGTCTGTCGCGATGGAGGCTGCGGTGTAAAGTCTGTCTGTCGCGACAGAGGGCTGCGATAAGAAGCCGCTCTGTGCGGGGCAGCTCTGGCGCATCTCGCCCGGGAAAAGCCGGGGAAAGACGGAGATCCAGGGAAAGACGGAGATCCAGGGAAAGACGGAGATGCAGGGACACAGCTGGCGTGCCGGAGGTGCCAGCCCGCTCCATCCCACGGGTTTCCCCGGGCCCGGCTCCGCCGCTCCTCCTCCCGCAGCGGCTGCGGCAGCGGGCGGGGCGCAGGGACCGGCCCGGGGCCGCGGCCGCGGAGCGAGGGGCGGGAGGTGAGGAACGGGGAGGAGGGCAGGAGGAGGGAGGGAGGAAGGGAGGGCGAAAGGTGGGGATTTAAGCGCGGGCAGCGCCGGGCTGGGGAGCTGCGGTGCGCGGAGCGGAGGTGAGGGAGGCGCGGGGCCGCGGTGCGCTGCATCGCGGTGCGGTGCATCGCGGTGTTCTGCATCCCGGTGTTGTGCAGCCCGGTGTTGTGCAGCCCGGTGTTGTGCAGCCCGGTGTTCTGCATCGCGGTGTTCTGCATCGCGGTGTTCTGCAGCCCGGTGTTCTGCATCGCGGTGTTGTGCAGCCCGGTGTTCTGCATCGCGGTGTTCTGCATCGCGGTGTTGTGCATCGCGGTGTTCTGCATCGCGGTGTTCTGCATCGCGGTGTTGTGCAGCCCGGTGTTGTGCATCGCGGTGTTGTGCATCGCGGTGTTGTGCATCGCGGTGTTGTGCAGCCCGGTGTTGTGCAGCCCGGTGTTCTGCATCGCGACGTTGTGCATCGCGGTGTTGTGCATCGCGGTGTTCTGCATCGCGGTGTTCTGCATCCCGGCGTTCCCGCATCCCGGTGTTGTGCATCCCGGCGTTCCCGCATCCCGGTGTTGTGCATCCCGGCGTTGTGCATCCCGGCGTTCCCGCATCCCGGTGTTGTGCATCCCGGTGTTCCCGGTGCCGGCGCCCATTCCCCGCTCAGCTCGGCTCGCCCAAGGGCATCGCTGCGGAGCCGCGTCCCGGAGCATCCCCCGGGCAGGGGCCGCTGACCTTGGCGAGCGCGGCCGCTGCCACGGCGAGTCCCCCCCGGCGGCTCGGTAAGGAGCGGGGGGAAGGCCCGGGAGCGGGGCTGGCAGCCGCAGGAGCCCCGGGGCTGCTTGCTGTGCCTCCCTCAAGGGAGCCGGGGCCGCTCCTGCCGCACCTGCCGCCTCCAGCGAGCGCTCCGGGCTTTGGGGCGTCCCTGCCGGGCGGCGATGAGATGGGCTGCAAAGTCCCTTCTCAGCCAGACCGTGCCGCGATTCCGTGACTTGTTGCTGCAGCCCTGCAGTCGGGGATTTATTCCCAGGCGGCAGGAAGATGGTTTGCCTTAGGGATTCCCTAAAAACGAGTCAAACACCGGGAATGGGAAGGTCGCGCTGGGCGGGGGGGATGGAGGAGGGAAGGAAGGTGGCTGTGCTGGGAATGCTCATCGCTGGCGGGTTTTTCCTCTCTGGTTTTCTCCCAGTTGCTGGTGGCTGCCTTCTGTAGGAAGCAGGTGCAAGTCCTGCCTTCCCTGTTGGATAAACCCTGGATAATATGGAGGAGAATCCCTGCAATAAATGCTTAGGTTCTGCTTAGTCAGCACAGGGCTCTTTGGGGGATTTTAATGTGGATTTTAATGCTTTAGGAATTGGGATGCTGGGTTTCCTTTCTCTGATGAATATCATGAGCATGGTACAAATAACTGCAATTCCATGGAGTGATTTCTGGCGCAGGTTTAGTGGGGAGAAGCAGGGAAGCTGTGCATGGAGCATGGACATTATTCCAAGATTCCAGCTGGAATGGGAGATGTTGAAAAGCTGCCTGGGGAGCAGCCTGGGCCCACGGCAATGCTTGTGCCACCCCTCTGTGCCCAAAGAGCATCCACAGAGCTGCAGCTGCCTGGGAGGCAGCCAGGGCTCTGCTCTGGGTCCTGCCAAGCCACATTTTTATGGAGCTTTTCATTTGTTTTATGGATATCAACAGCTTTGTGTGTCCAAACCTGTTTGCTCACAGCGAGGAAGTGCCTGCAAAGGAAGCTGTTCCTCACTGCATAGATGGGGTTAAATCTGTGGAAAAAGTGCGTTTTCCCTTTTATTTCTTATCTGTTGCAAGTCCATTTTTGCTTCTCCTCTCTCAGAGCAGTGACTGGAGTGGTGCAACTCTGCTTCCTTTGATGAGATCTCAGGGAAGATGCACTTGCACAAGAGTTTGGTCTCATTTTCCACTAATACCTGTCATAGCTGTGACAATAGTCACCTCCTCACGTTGCACACAACCCAAGCTGTTACTTTCAGCTGCCTCAGAAATGACTCAGAGCAAAGCAAAGAAGTCTGAATAAAATAAGGGCTACAACTGAAAGTAGATCTTATTTTAGAGCCCAGACATCTCAGTTGTTGTGTTGGTAGATTGATGTGTTTACACAACCTCCTGAACTTGGAAGCCTATGAAGAAAGTAGATGATGTCCCAAATCTCACAAGGAACTGAGGTTTGTCACCAGCAGCAAATGAAAACCCCTCTGAGACATTCCTGGTGCAGTTCTTTAAGAACTCTCAATTTTTAAGTGCTGGCAATTTAAACCTGGTGCTGGCCTCCATTCCTAAATTTGGGGTTTCGATTGGGAATAGTTCTGCTCAAAACCACGTCCCTAAATTATACTTACACTCAAAATAGAGGGGAAGGTTTCCCTTCCCCTGGGATTCAATTTGCCATTTTCCCATCTTCTCTGGCAGAGCTGCTCTCCTGCTCTGCCCCAAGGTACAAATCCTGGCACAGGGGGACGAGCCAGAGCCCAAACCATGCCCAGGAAAGCTGGAAAGGGAAAGATCTGTGCCTAAACTGCAAGGAGCAGCTGGTTATGTAAGGAAACAACTGAGGAAACTTCAGGGGAGGGAAGAGCAGGAAAAATTGTTGAAAAATTAATTTAGCCTTGGAAGAAAATGGGACAGAGCTGCTCCAGGAATGTTGTTACAGAGAAGCTGCATCTTCTCCTTTTTCTGTTCCTGAGTAAGGAGAGGATTGAGCACTGATAAATCAGCCAGGCTGCAAAGTCAGGGGTTATTTTGAGCTGTGCCTTTGCTGGGAGCAGCCTGTCAGGGGGCAGGTAAGGCATGAAATCAACCCAAATTTAACTGCTTCCAACTGCTGTGCTGCTATTGAATTTTCCAGAGCAGACCCCTGTGGGTGCTTGCAGAGCAAGCAGGGTCAAAAATTGGTGGATCTCATTGGAAAGGAGTTTTCCTTATGGTTGTAGGTCATCATAAACCCCATCTGTGCACTCAGCTTAACTGAAGGAGAAAATCCAGCAGCACTCTGGGTGCTGTCCCATGCAGCTGGCGAGGGAGGCTGACAGAACCCTCTGCTCCAGAAGGCAGGCAGAGAATTCCAGCACCAAACCCTGTTTTGGGAGCCCAGAATTGCAGCAGGAGGAGCAGACACACAGATCAGGGTCCAGGTGGGGACGAGGAAGTCGGCTCAGACTTTGTGCAGGTGTGGCACTGCCACTCGAGGAGGGGGTTGAGGTTCCAAGGGGTAACAGGAAATCTTCCTGGGCAGAGAAATCTCCTGGGCTTTGTGTGCATTATGTGGTGTTTGAAAGAACCAAAACAGCACCTGTGTGCTGCCACGGAGGCCAGCAGGGAGCAAATTGGAGCTAAAGATTTGAAAGATGCTGGAATTCCCTCTCCTGAGGCAGGTAAAACAGAAACAGGGCTGAAAACATCATTGCTCTTTCTGCTTTAACCCTTCCGCTCGTGGAAGATTCTTTTTTTTTTCCAGCAAAGCCCACAGGCTCAGCCAAGCCATGCCCACCCACGTGTGGGTGAATTCCAAATTCTGGGAACTTGGATTCTTGGAATTCAGCCTCAGAATGGCTGAGTCATGTGCAGCACCAACATTTCCCCAGCTCAGACCCTCATCCTGGTGTTGCACAGGACACGTGGAAGGGATTTGCATTTCCTGGAGCTCTCTGATGGATGGCCAAGGGGGCTGAGGGAGAGAACCTGGGATTGCTTCGCTCTGCTGAGCACTCCAGAATTCCAGGGGTGGTTGTTTATCCAAATCTGCAAGACAAGGTGGTTTTCGAGGTGTAGCCTTGTCTTCCAGCCTCACCCCTTCCACTCCTGGAAGATATATATTGCCACACTGTGACACGAAATAACTCACAGAAGCAGGCTGCAAGGAAAGAAAAAGAACTCAAAAAAGTAAACTTTATTTTCTGACTCTACTGTGTATACAATAGCAAAAGTGACAGTGGATTGGAGAGTGAAACTGCCACCTCTCCAACCACACTGGTCAAACCAACAGTCTATTAATTTACCTACAAAGAAGAATGCAAAACAATCATTATTTACATGAACACGTGTGAGAAAACTCTGTTGAAACATGTAAATATCAGAAGGCATAGGAACTTTTAGAAGAACTTTAAAACTCTCAAAAGAACAGGGAGACAATTTATATTTTTCTTCCAGCAAACCCCACAGGCTGTGCTGTGCACTCCAGGATTCCAGGGAGGTTTATTTATCCAAATCTGGCAGTCAAGGTGGTTTTTGAGGTGCTTCTTGTCCGCAGCGGGAGCTGTGCTGGGATTGCTGCTGCTGGAATTTCCTCCCTGGGAGGACAAGCTGGAGGTGAAATGTAAAGATCCATGTGGGAATGCTGAAGGAACCTGAGGGCTTTGCTTGCCAGGAGGGGAAGGCAGATCCCAGGCGGAGCTGCTGCTCCATGGACACGGGATCGGAGCCGCGGGGAGGCAACAGAGCAGGAAATTCCCAGGAAATTCTGGGAATTGGATGCCCTGGAACATGCTGAGGTGGCGATCCCAGGAAATTCTGCGATTTGGATGCCCTGGAACATGCTGAGGTGGTGATCCCAGGAAATTCTGCGATTTGGATGCCCTGGAACATGCTGAGGTGGTGATCCCAGGAAATTCTGGGGTTTGGAATTCCCAGAACGGGCTGAGGTGGTGATCCCAGGAAATTCTGGGGTTTGGAATTCCCAGNTGAGGTGGTGATCCCAGGAAATTCTGGGGTTTGGAATTCCCAGAACGGGCTGAGGTGGTGATCCCAGGAAATTCTGGGGTTTGGAATTCCCAGAATGGGTTGAGATGGTGATCCCGGGAAGTTTTGGGATGTGGATTTCCCAGAACATGATGAGGTGGTGATCCCAGGAAATTCTAGGATTTGGAATTCCCAGAACAGGCTGAGGTGGTGTTCCCAGGAAATTCTGGGATTTGGATGCCCTGGAACAGGCTGAGGTTCCCAGGAAATTCTGGGATGTGGAATTCCCTGGAATCTGCTGCCTCATCTCAATTTCTGCCCAACCATTCATCCTATCATTCCTTGTGCACCGTGCTTGGTGCTCACTGAATAGAACATGAATGGAAATGCCTGATGGAATGGGAATGGGAATGGGATTGGGAATCCCTTCCTGGTTCTGCTTGCACTTGGAGGTGTCAACCTGCATAAAATCGCTGGGATCATCCCAGAATTATGTCAGCATTAAGAGGGACAAGACAGTGCCTTGGAAAAATCAGGATATTCAGCAGGACAAGCCCATGGAACACAGTGAAGTTACAAATAAGAACAGTTCCACAGCAATAACTTGCAGATCGAATTTCTATTTCAATCCCACGGAGGTGATTACCCATTTAGCTCCTAATATCTGAAATTATTTGCAGATCAGACAGCTTTAAATTCAGTCTGGCACTTTGCCTGCTTGTGGGTGCTCAGGGCTGGTGGGGCTGGAACCCCCTCAGGGACTTGTGGAAGGATTTTATTGAAGCTCCAGCATGAGAGGGAGCTTAAATAAAAAATCCTGAGGGAATTTTTATTTCAAGATGCTGCAAACCCCATCCACTCTTGCTGCTGGGCTATCCCAGCAATTATTCAGCAAATGGCCACTTTTAGCCAATTAAATATTTGTATTTTGGGGATGGATTGATTGTTTGCTGCTTTTATTTCTCACCTCGTCCCTGCTTTCCATTTAAAGCAGCAGAGATCACCTGTTGAATGATCATGAGGTCATCTCCAGCTCCAGGCTTTGTTTTTCCCCACTCCAGATGAACTTTTCCTGAATATATGCTGGAAACTCTTTTTTCCTGGATGTGTAACTCAACCAACCCCTCCTGCTGAGGGCATCAAGTGTTTTTCAAGCATTCTTTGGAAAACAGTCTCTCCCAGTTCCCCTGCAAGAATGTTTCTTCCCACAGGAATTTCCCAGCAGGAGCTGTCCGGCCACGGGTCAGATTGAAAATGTGACCAAAATTCCCCAAATCCCAGCTGCTCAAGGCAGAAATTACATATTAAAGCACCTAACACTGGAATCTTCTAACTCCCAACTAGCTCTGACTCTGGCAGATAAGGTCATTAATAAAGAAATTTTGGAGATTAGGCATGCTCTGAAATGACACCATGATATTTGGATGATGATTTATCTTTTCAGCTGCCCTAATCAGAGACATGTGTCAACAAGCAAGAAAATCAGGCAGCACTTAAAACACTAAAAGCTGCTTTACAGGTTTCTCTTCTTGCATTTTTTTTTCTCTCTCGGAGGTGCAATGCTGAAAATAATCTGAATATTGCCTAACAGGAGCTGAATTCTCTTCATTTCACTCATAGCTGGCTGTAACAGTCCCGTGGCCCCAACATCATTGAATGTTTCAATCCAAATTTGTAGACAAATGAATGTTGAGTTAAAATTGCATAAGAACAAATGATCTCCTGCTCTGGAATAGTGGGAAGTGATGAGTGAATAACTCGGGGTCCTTTCAATTGGGAGTGCCAGCTGGAATAGAATAAAACACAGGCATGGAAGTGAAGCCTCTCTAGGACAAATCCGGTTTAAAATACAGATTTTTAGCCTCCAGATTTTTAGATTTAGTTTGCCTAGTAATCTGCTATTCCCTTTGATTGCTGCTACAATTAATTTGGGTGGTAAAGCTGCCACAGACCTCTGGAGATGTGGGGTTTGGGGCTCCTCCTTACTCCTCATAATGTGCCCAGAGGGATCTGTGTGACCGTGCCACGGGGGAGCCTTGTCTCTCATTGCCTCAGCAGCTGCTTTAAAATGTTTTTTTTTTCCTTTTCCCTCCTGTGTCTTCCTTTATAAATGATGCAGCTGGAGCTGTGTTTTCCCTGCACAAAGTGCAGTGTGTCAGTGGTGAGGGCACAGACTGCAATTTGCTTTTGCCTTTTACTTATCCCAACCTCCAGCATTCATTAGGAGACCACAGAGCAGGAAGGCAGCTCGTGTTCCTCCTGGAATTCCAGAGTGCCTGGGGATGGAATTACTGCCTGCACTGGGAGCCAGGCTGCTGCAAGGAAATGCAATCCCCAGGCTGGAAAAAAAGGTGCCAAGGGCTTTGGTTAAATTCAAAGGGCTGCTCATCATTTTAACTGCCTCATCCTTTATTCATGTGGCTCTCCAAGGGGTAATGGTGAGGCTGCAGCCTGGAATATCTAAAATCAGCCTCGGGGGTGTTTTTCCTGCCTGTGGCAGTCCTTGTCCAGCTCTGGATGGAGATGCAGCAGCTCTGGTCACTCAGACACCCCCAGCAGTGCTCCAGCCTTGCAGCTCCTCCGGGCAGGGCTTGGGATCAGAAGGGATTTACCCACGAAGGGATGAGTTTAACCAGCAGAGCCTGAACCCCAGTGTAAATCCCATAATCCTGGGAGTGAGGGGGTCCTTCTTCCTCTTCTTCTTCCTCTTCTTCTTCTTCTTCTTCTTCTTCTTCTTCTTCTTCTTCTTCTTCTTCTTCTTCTTCTTCTTCTTCTTCTTCTTCTTCTTCTCCTTCTTCTTCTTCTTCTTCTTCTTCTTCTTCTTCTTCTTCTTCTTCTTCTTATTCTCCTCCTTCTTCTTCTCCTCCTTCCTCTCCTCCTTCTCCTTCTCCTTCTCCTTCTCCTTCTCCTTCTCCTTCTCCTTCTCCTTCTCCTTCTCCTTCTCCTTCTCCTTCTCCTTCTCCTTCTCCT